CGGGCGTCCGGCGCGGCGCCCGCCCATGGCGCGCAGCGGCGGACAGCCAGAGTCGATCGGGGCATTCGGAGGACGGATTCGGAGCGCGCGCGACCGACGCCCCCCGCCGATCTGCGGGTTCGGCGCGCGCGCGCCGCCAATAACCCGCCCGCGATGAGCGGGTCCGGCGCGCGCGCGCCGGGCGACCCGAGGACCGTCTGGGATCGGGGGGCGCGCCCGCAGTTGGCCCCGCGGGCGCGCGCCCCGCCCGCTGAGCGGCGCCCGAGCTTGCCCGGGGACTCTGTCCGCAATTGACGAACGGGCGTTCGGAGATGGGGGGGCGATAATTGGGCGGCGTCGGGGGCTGCGCGAAAGGGGCCCTGCAGGGGCCCGAAACGAGCCCCCTGGGGCCCCGAAGGGGTGCGAAAGGTCACGAAAGGTGCGCCCTTCTCACCCCCGCATCTATCGCCGCCCCATTAGTGAACGCCCGATGACGGCGCTATCAGCGGCCCAGTGACAGTTGCCTACACATACTAGTAGCGCCCGCGGAAGGCCCCGGGAAGGCGGCAGCCCGCGCAACGAAGAAGAATGCGCGGGTTCAGTCGATGCGCGCGACGACATCATGTCGCGCCGACCTTCGCGCGCGGCGGCGGGCTGGGGGGGGGGGCCTTTGTCTGCGCGTTTCAGGCGCCGTCATGTTAGGAAACGCGACGCTGCTCGGCATCGAGGACAGAGGAGCGGACGGCAAAGGGGACTAGATGGGACGGGGGCGACGAAGGAGGGGCGCAGTGGGATCGGCGGGGGGAACGAGGACAGGCGAGGCAGTCTCGGGCCGGCCGAGATCTCCAATGGACCGTCTTGGGTCCGCCCGGCCTCATTGGGCGAGAGCGAGGGGTCAGGGGGGGCGGGGCGCGGCGGGGGCGGCGGGGAAAATGGCGAGGGGCGGGGGGGGGTGGGCGGCGCGGATGAGGGCGGCGGGGCCGGGGGCGATGGCCAGAAGGGGGGGCGAGCGTTGAGGCGTGGGCGCAGGGGGGGATGGGGGCGGGGGGGCGGTAGCGCCACCGACGCAGCCGCTCGTTGTTCAGCGTTGCCCAAGCGAGGGTCTGGGTCCATCGGGGCAGCGGCAACCGAGAGGTGACTGATGGCGCCGGCCCCGGGTCGCCATGGCGCGCGATTGCGTTGAAGCGCGCGCGAACGCGCGCTGTTCGCAAGGCGCCAGCGTCGCCGCTTGCCGAGCCGCCTGGTCTTCGAGATTGCACGCCCGGCCAGATCAGCGCACTGTCGGGCCTTTGCGGACTGGGGCGGCGACCGTTGCGCATTGGCCCAAGCTTTGGATCCGACCACAACTCTACGTCGCGAGGCCGAGTTGCGCGTTATTTTTACTTGTCGCGCAAAGGGCGCCCGGCCCGCTGGATTGCCCCGCTGCGCTCTCGGGGCCCAGGGCGTCGCTCCGATGAATTCGTGAGCGTGCTCGGATTGCGCGAGGTAGCTGCGGGCGCGTTCGCCCGGGGATTGCGTCGTCGTTCGGCAGATGAGTCGGCGAATTTCTTGGAGGGGGGCGCGCCAAATCCAGTTCGGCAGATTTCGACCCCGGCATTCGCAGTCGCCTTATCGACGGCATGCGAGCGGCAACCAGTTGAGAGGACGGTTGGGGCGATTTGCTGAATGTCGCCGAGCTGCGGGTTCGCGCGCGCCAGAACTGCCGCGGCGACGGGCCCCGCTGCCACCCTTTCCCAGCCGCTGCGCGCAGGGTCCGCTGCCTCCAGGCCGCCCTGCCGCGAAGAACATGCGACGGCGGGCGCGGTGCCCGGGGGCGCGCACCGCGCCGCCGCCGATGGCGGCGCGGCCGCGGGCGGCGCCGGGCGCGGCGCGGGACAAGGGCGCGGGCGCCGCGGAGGGCCCTGCTGACCTCCCGTGGCCCAGCCAGTCGGAGGTTCTTTGGAGTTTTCGCGCGTCGTGCGGGCCCAGGGGAGGGGGTCGCCGTCGCCCGTGGAGGTTTTCGGATGTTTGGGGGGGGCCCTCGATTTCCTGGCGACGATTCGCCGCGGGCTTTTAAAGGGTTGGGGCGCTGCTACGCAGCCCCGCCGCCTTTTCAGAAGATCGCCCCCTCGCGCCGCCCTCTGGCGCGCGGCGAGCGGGGCGGCCATGGGGGAATGTTTCGGCGCTCGTCCGAGATCGGCAGGGAAGTCAACGACCTCGTGCGGACGTCGCCAGCGGCGCGGCGTTGCGCGCCGCTTGCGCGCGGCGCCCGAGTGGACGGGAGTTGTGCAGCGACGTTTTTGCGGCGGTATCGGGCTTGCCGAGCCAGACAACCCGCCGGTCGGGCTGGCCAGCAAAACGCGCGCTTTGACAGGGGGCGGCCCGAACAAAGAGATGCGTGCCCTATGTATTTCCTACGTGACGCGAATGTTTGCGTTGGCGCTCCCTGCTGAAGGACACATCGCCAGATTTGCACGATCTGCGATGCCATCATCTCCGCCGCGCCTCACACGAGCCCACGAAAGTGGCGACAACTAGGCACTTCGTGGTCCCGCAGGGAGCCGCGAGGTCTCGGCTGGATCCGCGAGACCCCCGACTCCGTTGGAATTCCCAGGAGCCAACAGACATGGCGACATTTGCGCAGTTCGCAGCCACCAATTGCGCCGCGAGGTCCCGTCTAGGTGCGCGTGGCCCCCGACTCCGCGGGACCTTCCAGGAGCCCACGAAACAGATGGTGATTGCGTAGTCCGCAGCCACCCGCTGAGCAGTTAGGTCTCGTCTGGGCGCGCGTGGCCCCGACCCCGTTGAACGCCCATGGGTCCACGAAAGTGGCGACGCATGCGCAGTTCGCAGCCGCCCAGGGAGCTGCGAAGTCGCGCCGGGATTTGTGTATTTCCCGATTCCGCCCCCCCCTCCCCCCTTCCAGGAACCCACGAAAGTGACGACAAATGCTCACTTCGGAGCCACCCAGCGATCAGCGAGGTCCCGCGTGGGTGCGCGTATTCCCCTGCTCCGCCGTGCCTCTTAGGAACCCACGAAAGTGGCGACAGTTGCGCAGTTCGCAGCCACCCAGGGAGCCGCGAGGTCTCGTCTGCATCCGCGTATTCACTGATTCCGCCACCAATCCTCCCAGGAACCCGCGAAAACGGGAAGAATTGCGCAGTTCGCAGCCACCACAGGAGCAGCAGGGTCTCGCCTGGATCCGCACACTCCCCGATTCCACTGTGCCTTGTAGGAGCCCACGGAAGTGGCGACAGTTGGGCAGTTCGCAGCCACCCAGGGAACCGCGAGGTCTCGTCTGCGTCTGCGTATGCCCCGGCTCTGCTGAACCTCCCAGGAACCCACGAGCATCGCGCCAATTGCGCAGTTCGCAGCTCCCCCCCTTGAGGCCCTCCACGGCCTCCAGTGTATTTGAGGAGGTGGCGTATCGATAAACAATCCCAGCAGGGGCCCGATGGCCAGGCCATACCAGCATGGATATCCAGTGGATATCCATGCTGGTATGGCCTGGCAACAAACAGATGTTTGCCATATCCTGGACAAGTAATCGCACGGCCGCTGCTCACAGGGGCGCGGGGAGTTGATCAATTATTGAGGACGTCTGCGTGCAGATGTGTAGCCATAGGCGAGCGGATTGTAGCCATGCGAACACGTTTTTTTCATGAGCATGAGGTGTGTGTGTGTGTGTATGTGTGTGTGTGTGTGTGTGTGTGTGTGTGTGTGTGTGTGTGTGTGTGTGTGTGTGTGTGTGTGTGTGTGTGTGTGTGTGTGTGTGTCTGGGGGGGGGGTCGCTTTCTACTGGTATGTAAGCCCCCACGCTTGCGGATGAGGTGGTTGGCCCAATTTGCCTCGTTTCTTCGTCCTCTCGAATAGCCTTTCCCGTTTCTATTCTCAAGAACATGAAACTGCGAAGGGTAACGCTCTCAGATCGAAGCGTTTCAGTCGGACGGCGTCCTGAAATACATCACCGCCTTGAAAGCAGGAGGAGGGACGAAGAAGGAGGAGGTCGACGGCTAAGGAAGATGACATGGGAGGGGAGCACGGGGGAGCACATGTGAGGATAAGGAAGACAAGGGCCGCGGCGTGGAGGAGCAAGAGGCGGGTACGAGAAGGAATGACCGCCCCGGGCTAAGTGTGCCAGGCTGCCCCAGGCGGTCTTCCTCCTGCTAATCCTCCTCTTCCTCCTCCTCCTCCTCCTCCTCCTCCTCCTCCTCTTCCTCCTCCTCCTCACTACTCCATCCTCTATCCTTCTCCCTGCTCCTCTCTCTCTCTCGTCCTCTTCCGGTGCCGTCTGGAAGGCCGAAGAAGGCTGGGCCCGAGAGGAGTCAGAGCGAAGTCACGCGAGAGCCCTCTCGCGTGATTTCGATTTGGTATTTGGTGCCTCCAGGGCTCCCCATTGGGGTCCTCGTGCGGCCCCTCGGAGCGCTCCAGTGCCGTCTCGGATGCCCCCGTGGCAGCTCCAATAGGGGCCCAAGAGGAGTCAGAGCGAAGGCGCGCGCGGCAGTGGCCTCATGCTTCAGCGGGTGCCTTCCCCGATCCGCTGATCTGGCGCCCGCGCGCCAGATCGACGGGTCCCTGATTCCATCTCAGCGCGTGCTCGATTCGAGCTCCTCGCAGCTCGTTCCGTTCCGTTCCGATCGATGTTTTTAGCGGTCGCTCCCAGGTTTCCCCAACGAGGGTTTCGTCAGCGATCGTTCTCTGGTGACTTCCGTTGCAGGAGGAGGAGGAGGAGGCGGAGGAGGAGGCGGAGGAGGAGGGAGGAGGAGGAGGGAGAAGAGGAGGAGGAGGAGGGGAGGAGGAGGAGGAGGAGGAGAGAAGAGAGAGAGAGAAGAGGAGGAGGCGGAGGAGGAGGAGGAGGAGGAGAGAGAAGAGGGAGAGAGAAGAGGAGGAGGAGGAGGAGGAGGAGGAGGAGGAGGAGGCGGAGGAGGCGGAGGAGGAGGGAGAGAAGAGGAGGGAGAGGAGAGGAGAGGAGGAGGAGGAGGAGGAGGAGGAGGAGGAGGAGGAGGAGGAGGAGGAGGAGGAGGAGGCGTTCCGGTGCCCAGGCCCTTCAGCGCGCACAGCCTCAACGGGGACTTTCGCCGCGGCCGCTCGCTGTCCGTGGATGCCTCGGCCAGGCGGCGGGGCTCCCCCCCCTCCTCCTCCTCCTCCTCTTCTCCCTCCTCTTCTTCCTCCTCCTCCTCCTTTTCCGCCTCCTCCGCCTCCTCCTCCTGCTCCTCCTGCTCCTCCTCCTCCTCCTCCTCCTCCTCCTCCTCCCCCTCCTCCTCCTCCCCCTCCTCCTTCCTCTTCAGGAGGAGGGGGTCTTTGTTTATTTGTGTGTCCCTGGGCGCCTTTAGAGAGCAGGGGGGGGGGGGGAGAGCGCCGGGGGCGGCGGCCCGCCCGCGGCCTGGCGCGGCCTTCATCGTCGATTCAAGACAGTATGGGAAACTATGGGGATTGGGGGGGAGGGCAACAACCCGGAGAAAATATAGGAGAACATGGGGAATCCTTTTCATGTGTGTGTAGTTATTTGTGTGTCCCAGGGCCCTGTCAGGGTGGCCGGGATGGGGTGAGGGGGAGGAGGGAGAGAGAGGAGGGTGACGCAAACGACGCAGATGTCTGGCACTCCGCCTTTTTCTCATCTCATGTAGCTGTTTCTCTATCCTGGGGCATCACTGGCGAGGCGCATGAGCTCAAAGCCGCTGAGCTCAAAGCCGCGGCTCATGAGCTCAAAGCCGCTGCGGGTCAGAGGATGAGGGTCAGAGCAGGGTCAGAGGATGAGGAGGAGGAGGAAGAGGAGGAGGAAGGGGATGAGGAGGAGGAGGGTCAGAGGAACCAGGTGGATGGGGGGGGTCGAATAGATGTTCTAGGTGGTTAAATTCAGCATAGGCGTTGGTATATCTGTGGTCGAAAACTGGCATCCCGCTTTGTCCGGCGTAGTCCCGCTCAGTCCTGCCTACTCCAGCCTACTTCTGTGCTGTTTCGAGGACCAGGCTAGTCCAGCTGTGTTCTTCTTTTATAGGGCTGGATAGCCCTGAATCGTTCTTACGAAGTCCTCGCAGGAGTTGCCTCCAGGGGGAGGAGAAGGAAGAGAGAGGAGGGTCAGAGGAGGAACATGTAATTACTGGTGCCGCTACCTTTCCATCCTCGCCACGGCTGGATTCGCCTCGAATTCTTGGTCGGATCGCTCCTCGGGATAGGTCTGTGGAGTACTTGCATCGGTATCCTTTCATCCGGGCATGGTTCACCTTTATCATGGAGTTACGCAGGCACGAAGCCAGTCCTAGAACGCATAGAGAGGGCCTGCTGAGGCAGGCAGACGAAAGCCCAACGAGTTAGCCGCGGAGGACGGCACCTGTCGAGCGGTGGCGACAAGCGGCTACATAGTCGCGAGGAGGAGGAGGAGTTGGAGGAGGAGGAGGAGGAGGAGCTTGAGGAGGAGGAGGAGGAGGAGGAGGAGGAGGAGGAGGAGGAGGAGTTGGAGGTTCGATCTTTTCAGGACGTTTCTCGTCTGAGCGCTTCTCCCCTACTCCCCCTCCCGCGGCCGCCCTCGTCGTCTTTCCTTTCTTTTGTACGCGGGACAAATCGCCTTTCGGTCGCCCCGATTCGCCTCACGCTGCTGCGGACTGCCTCTGCCTCGCCGCCGACGAAAAACTGTTTAGGACGTTTCTCATGATGGGTTTGAGAGGCTCCCAGGGATTTTGTGGGGATGATTGTCCTCCTCTTCCTCCTCATCCTCCCCTCATGCCTCCACCTCCTGCTGTTGTTGCTGTCAGGGCGTGATTGCTGTGGCTGCTTCGGAGATTGCCCCTGCTGGTTTTACAGGTTATGTCAATACAGATGCATGCGCTTGCCACCAGAAGCCGAGTAGTGTCGCAGCTGGCCGCACGCGGACGCTCATCCCGTAATCCTCAAGGCTCGGGCGTCGGGCGTGAGGCCTGCTTTGCTGCTGGTGGCACCGAGCGTGCTTTCTATAGGCGTGCCATGCCAGACGGCCTCGAAGAGATGATTCGCCTTCCTTCGATCGCAGCTAGGCGCTAAGGTATCGTCGACATCGATAGGTCTCCCGTGGGGCCGAGCGAGAAGATCACGCCTTGTGTCTGTGTTCTTCCCATGGGATGGTCTTGGGCCTTGCGCATCTGCCAGAGCGTCCTTCGGCATGCCTTGAGTGTCGAGGATTTCCTGCCTGCTGTTTCCCTGTCCCTGCACTCGGACACTGCCGGCGCTGAGTATGTGGGTCACAATATTGTCATGGGCACTGATCCTGCGCCGTGCAGAGGTGGCTTGACGGCGTCTGCCGGGTCTCGTTTGGGCTCTCGGTTCACGAGCTGAGCCCGGCCGAGCTGGACATTCGTTTCGTGGGCCAGAGCTTCAGTGGGGGGCCCAAGATATCTATCAAACCCTCGAACATATGGCGTTTCAGTTGCTGGATCGATGAGGCTTCACAGACGTGGATGGTGTAGCGATTCTGCCTTGCAGATTGTTGTGGGGCACCTCACGTGGGCGGCGGCTCTCAGGCGGGACGTGCTCTCTCTTGCATGCGACATACCAGTTTATGACCGCCGTTGGCAGTCCGCCTCAGAAGCTTTGGCCGAGTGTGCGTCAGGAGCTATAGACCTTCCGCTCTATCCTGCCCTTACTCTATACCGATATGTATCTATATGTATATATATAAAAATAAATACATACCTTGGCACAACGTTGTTACTGCTTCTGTGTTTGCACGGGCGTGGCGTTGCCCGAGAGAGCGGGCGCCGTGGGGCGCTACGCCGACCGGTGGAGGCACCACGCTACTGGAGCCGAGCGTGCCAAAGAAGGTGCTCTCGAGATGAGCGAGCCGGTTCAGGGTTTCCCCAGCAAGGGCCACCACCAGGTACGTCACGGGAGGGACCTCACTGGGGCCGAGGTCTTGGGCGACGGAGGCGAGCAGCCGGGGCTACTCTCGAGGAGGTGCCAGAGGACGTCCTCAAGGGCCCGCGGGTCACCATGGTGGCCTCCAAGGTTCTCTCGGAGGCCAACATCTTGGAGCTCGAGGGGGAGGCCCTCACGATGGCCGCGACGCACATCCTCAGGGCGTCCTCACCATGTTGGCCTCCAGGGTCCTTGTGGTGGCCAACATCTTGGAGCTCGAGGGGGAGGCCCCCATGGTGGCCACGAATCACATCCTCAGGTGCACCGAGGCCTTCAACCGCCGACTGGTCGTCTTGGTCGACAACCCCCCCCGGCCCTGGCGGTCTGCACGGGTTAAGTCGGGCATGTCCTTCTACAGGGCGAATACTCAAAAATAGTTTAAAAAATAGTCTGGGGAATTACTTGTTCTACAATTTGGGAGTATCTGTCTGCCTATATTTTATTGTTCGTCCAAAACCCGCTCGTAGGAGGACACGCCCGACCTAGTGCAAGGGCCGATGGGGCCTCTCCTTGTCTCGTTCGGCCTCTCCGCAAGCTGGCCCGCTCAGCCCTGGTGGCGGGCGTGAGGGCTCACATCCGTTGGCAGGACAGTCCGCTCGTGCCGCTGTGCGCCCAATCTTGCTACTCCAGGTGCCTCACCCCGCATTCCTGCCTCGGTGGCGTCTCCGGCCTCAGGGGAGGTCGCGGCGGCCGCGGATGGCGCCGACGACGTCGCTTCGCCGACGAGCGCGGCCGCGTGCGAGGGCGACCTGCCAGACGGGGCGCCTGAAGGCCCAGCGGGTGGCAGCTGCTCCACGGGTGTCCGTCGAGATGTCTGCCGCGGGCTCGCTCAGCCTCCTCGAAAGCCACTCGGTGACGCCTGGCGCCGAGCTGATGTATTTGAGCGCCGCCTGGCGCTTCGCGGACTCTGCCACGGGATGGGCCCGGGCGGGGCGATGGCCAATGTGCTGGATCCGCTCCTGGTCTCAACGCGGAGTTTCTGGATCCGCTTCTGGCCTAATATTCCAACGCGGAGTTCCTGGAGGGCGCCAGCGTCGAGGACGCCTCGAAGCTGCTGTAGAGCCTAGCGCACCTCGTCCCCGAGTTCTACATCCTGGCGTACCTGAGGCCGCACGAGGCCTTCCTCCTGCTGGGCTGGCACCTCGTGGCACCGCGCTTGGTGGCGAGCAGGCAGTACAGCGCTTGGGGGTTGTTGCTGTGTGATGCGATGATCGGTGGCGCGGGCAAGACGGGCATGCTCGACGCCGCGGTGCTGCTGGACCTCTGCGACTGTCTGATCCCCCCAACATGACGGCTCTGCAGGCGCAGTCCGTGAACGACGGCTGCCTGCGAGACTTCACGCCAGGGGAGTTGCAGAGGCTGTTCAACCGGGTGGTGGTGCGGTTCGGGCTGACCCTGCTGCCGCCTCACCTCTGCTCGTTTTGCCGCGGTTGTGCGAGCAACGACCTGGTCACCGCGTCCACGGCGCAAGACGAGGTGAGGGTTCGAGGGTCGTGGGCGACCATCACCAACCACAAGCGCTGTGCGACAACCATGCGCCTGCTCTTCGAGACGACGGTGGAGACCAGCTTCAGCAACGTCATGTCAGAGGGCTTCGGCGGCCCGCTGTCGGCCGCGCGGCTGCCGCCGCAGCTCGCGGCCGCGCTCAGATGTTAGGAGCTACCTGCAGCGCGCCCTCCGGGCTACCGCATCGCCCGGTCCGAAGTCGCTGGAGCGCCTGGTTTTCCTGGATCTCTTCGGTGGGAGCGGGCAGATCGCTGAGCAGAGATGCGCTGTCTGGGTAACCGTGCCCTGTCGCTGGGTATTTTCTTAACAGCCTTCGTGCAGACCATCTGGATCCTGTGTTTCGGGAAGTCATCATGGGGTGGGTGCGATCCTGGTGTGTTGCCGCACTGTGGCTAGGCATCCCTTGTACTTCTTCGACCCGTGCTTTGAAACGCCCGCTGCGCAGTAGCGACAGTCCATTTGGAGTCGAGGGGTTTACCGCTGCCGAACAAGAGCGCTTGCGTGTTGGGAATAGCGCCTTCTTTTTCATTATCGTGCTGGCCAAGCTGCGCGCCAGCAAGAATTGTCCCGGTCTTCGTGGAGAGCCCGCGTACTTCAATCATGTCGTGGTCGTGGACCCCACAACTTGCACACCTGGTGCAGTCGCTAGTCCTTTTGATGCCTGCCGTGGTTTCTGTTGATACCACTCTCCGATGAAACAAATGGCAACGCGAGTCGCCGTCTCGCACACATGGTGGGCAGCCTTCAGCACTTCGTAAGCGTTGCTCTAACAGGCGCGGTCTGCAACATACTAGGGAAGCGCCACGTTGAGCTCTCTGGTAACGCCCCTTGGGGGGGGGGGGCATAAGTGGACTAGCATCGCCACTCCCTACCCTGTCCGCTTCGCGTCCGCCGCTGCTGAATGTCTGGTTAATATCGCAGTCAAAAGCCATTCGAGTGCATTACTTTTTTTTGGCGGGGGCCTGTAGTGCAGCCGATGCCGGCCAACTCGCCGGTACGGGAGCGGGTGCTGGCTGCTTGGCGGCTTGCGCCTGCTGTCCAACTCTCTCCCTCGATTCAGCCCGAATCTCGCGGAGCGGCGGCCCCCGTGCGGTGCCCGCGCGCTCGCGTCACTGTTGGCCAGCGTGCCGAAACGCCCAGGCCATCAGCTCATGCGGAAGCGTTGCCCAGGCCAGCTGCCAGATAAGTATATCAGTGAGCCAGGGAGGCTGACAATAGTGAACTGAGAGACCTCTTGAGGCCTATTGGAGGCCTCTTGGAGCTCTCTTAGAGCCCTTTTGCAAGCCACTGGGGATCTCAGGGCCTTCTCGGGGAAACTCTCGGGCCCTCGGAGACGGGCAGCCGCACGGGGACGCTCGCTCCTGAAGCCTCGAGGCTCCCGCCCACCTCTCTTTTTTTGCCTTTTCGTTCGGATGGTGCTGGCCGCCCGGCGGCTCCTGCGCCTGCTCTCCCGGTCTCTCTTTCCGCCTCAGCCTGGGTGCTGGCTGCTCGGCGGCTGGCGCCTGCTGTCCCGACTCCCTTCTTCGCCTCAGGCTGAGTCTCGCTCGGCGGCGGCCCCACTGTGGTGCCTTTTGCGCCCGCCTCGCGATGAGTACGATCCAAGCTGGTGAAGGGAAACGCGCGCTATACATGCAGTGAAAGTCTGGCCCTCGTTTTTGTCAGCGCATCGTGGCCTCGGGATCGCAGATCCATAGCTTGTTGGAGATATTCTTGGCCGTCTTGAGGCCGTCGTGGGCCGTCCTGGGCCTCTTGAGGCCGTCTTTGGGCCATTAGGGGGCCATCTTGGGCCCATCTTTTGTGTTCCGCATTCGGGCGGCGTTGTCGGTCCTACATGTTGCGGTCTTCTCTTGTACCCGACGCGGGTCCGACGCAGACTCGGCGTGGATTCGACGTCGGTTCGACGTTCTTTCGACTTGCTCGACATGGATCCGACGCGGATTCAACACGGATGGCCGGCGAGATTGGGCAGAGATTGGGCGAGATTCCACAAGGATGCAAGTCACGGGATGTTAAACTCAGAATCGGCGCTGGTATGCGCAACAGTGGCCGAATTTGGTTTCATCCGGCCTGCTCCGGCGCAGTCCCGCCCCAGATTCCACCCAAGGCCGCTTTCAGTATACAGCAACCACGCCCCAGGGAGGGAATTTTGTATACCAGACCCACGACCAGGACCCTCGCTCGCTCCCCGGGGCTTTTGGGTATAGTATAGAAGCTTTCCCGTGCGCAATTTTTGGCCCAATCCAGCGCAGTCTGGCTCCCTCAACGTCTGCTTGATCGGGCTCAACACCCCGACCTTCCTGGAGGGCCGAACCAACAGCACCAGCACCTCGGCGTCGAAATTACGGTTGATGCCTTAAGAAGTCCAGAGAGGTCCATCGGTCTGGAGAGCTGATCTTGCAGGCGCTCTGGATGGTTAGGGCGGCCCTCAGCGATTCTGGCGAGACTTTCCAGGATCAGAGCGTGAAGTACCTGCCCCGCTTTCGCTTCCAGGCAAAACCAAGTCATACCACGCGCCTCCTCGTCAAGCGGCCTGACCAGTACAGGCCGTAGTTTGGCATCGCTTGGTATCTCTTGGAAGCGAGGGTGGTCAAAATCGAGGTAGGTTTGTTTGCCCCCATATTCCAGGAGTGACCTCCCCGGAGGTGCAAGCCGCGCAACACCTTGCGGGAGTTCAGATTCCGTCATGAAGGGGAGGGTGCCACGACCCTTCCAGACGACACGCTTCGGACTCCCCCCCCCTCCGGACAAGCCGTGAAAGGGCGGCCTCTTGCCCAGACCCCACTTGGACCCTCCAGGACAGCTCAAATCTCGGGCGAAGAGAACTATGCACATGCACCGATCTTGGCCTGGCCCATCCTGGGCCCAGGATCGGTGCATGTGCCCTCATGGCCACGGTAGGAGGGCGTATCCACTGATCTTGGGCTCAGGATGGGCCTGGCCAAAATCGGTGTATGTGCATAGTTCTTTTTCCTCTAAAATATACCCCCAAACAATCAGCCCCCCGCTCTCTTATTACCTTGGCATCGCTCGGACGTGTGCACTTCTTCCCTGCGAGGGCCGTCGAGGAGCATATTTCGGATCATCTGGCGAAACGTACACGCCCGAAACCGAACATCGCACGGGGAATGGACGTCCAGGCGATGGCAAGACAATGAGTCTCAGGAGGGAAACAAAAACACACAGACACACATCATCGTCCGAGAAGACGCAGGAAAAGATGGGACATTGGGGGGGAACACGAACACCCAACAGCTAGGGGGGGAAACATGGGACACCCTGATTTGTCTGTTTATTTTTGTGTCCCTGGGGCTTGGTGAGCCCCGGAAGCGGCAGGGCAAGTGTTTCATCGTTTCCGAAAGAGTGTCTCTTGAACACGGAAACGGTTAGAAAAAACGGCAACCAGACACGGCGACAGAAACGGCTCCGGAAGTGGAGCCAGAATTGGAACCGGCCACGAAGATACAGGACAAGAAGTGGAGGGGGGAAGACGAACACCCAGTAATTAGTGTTGAGGTGGACGATCCCTGGAGAGGGAGCATGTTGCCAAATAATTTCCAGACGTCTAGCACACGTCTTAAACGTGTGTCAAACATGCTTTCAACACGGCTAACACATGTTTAGAACATGTTCCCCTACATTTTCATACACACATTCAAACTTCAATGGTAGGACTGTTAGGGTGTCCACTGGCGTGGCATCCACAGGAACATTGGACATGCTGACCATGCGTCTGTCCCTCTGCGTGCCCCTGGGCCCGTGCTGAGAAGCTGCGCCCGCAGGCCGCCCGCCGCGGCGCCCGCCGGCGGCCGCCGGCGCGTGCTGGAGCGCGAGGCGCGGGGCGAGGAGCAGAAGCTGGAGTTCTTCCCGCGGGCGCCGCCGCCGCCGCGGGGGGGGGGCGAATCGTTGATCGGCAACTGGAGCAGAACTATACATCACCAGCGGCGGGCTGTTTTTCGCTCCCAGGACTTTCTTTGGGGGGGGGGTCGGGGGCGACGTCGGGGCGGTGTGGTGTGCACTTTTTCCCCACTTCCCCCGGGCAAACAGCGAAGAATGTATACACCAGGATCCCGTGTACACCAGGATCCGCTTTCCTCTGCGAGATTCAGTGTGAGGCCAGACAAAGGCGTCGGTGTATAGAGTTCGGAAATCCAGCCGAGATGCAAGCAACCTGCGCGGGCCGTCAAAAGCTTATGTCAATGCATTTGTTTGTTGCGCTACGCTACACTCAGAGCGGCGTTTTAGCATCCGTACGCGCCTGAACCTCGAGCATCGGAGGCTACGGAAGACGGAGCGGCAGCATCCATCCTTGGGAACCGGTGCTTGTCCGCCCGAGGCTGGAGTTTGGAGTTCTTCCCATGGGCACGCCGCCACCGTGAGGGGGGGCCTGAGATCCAGGGCGTCGCATTTTTCTGTTCTCTCCGGGCAGTTTCGCCAGGGCTCGGGCTCCAACGAAGGATTGCAAAAAAAACCCTCACTTGAACGAAGGATTGCAAAAAAACCCTGGATTGCAAAAAAACCCTGGGTTTTTTGCAATCCTGGGTTTTTTTGCAATCCTGGGTTTTTTTGCAGACCATCACAGCTCGATCTGGCTCAGGCAGAACGACATATGGGCCCTGGGGCTCCGGTCGTGACTGTACACGCGGCGTTGCATCCTCCTGCGCCCTCGGAGGGGGAACTCCGAGGAGGGGGGCGAGGAGGGGGGCGAGAGTGGGCGAAGAGGAGGGGCCAAGAGGGAGGCGAGGAGGGAGGGAAGGAAGTGGCGGGCGCTGTCGCACGAATGGCGAGGTGTGGAGGGGGGGATGTCTATGGCGATGGTGATGGTTATGATGCTGATGTATTTGACGATGACGATGATGACGACCGTGATACTGGTGTTGATGTTGATCGTGATGATGTTAACACTGGGTGCCCACGACACCGATGAAGGACAAGGGCGTGCAGATCTTCATGGCCTTCATCGCCGCGAGCTCGACGAAGAACCTGAAGTTGTTCAGGGGCTGTGCGAGCGACCCCTGGGAGACCAACTACGAGCGCATCATGGGCTCCACGGCACTCATCTACAGCGAATCCGAGTACGCCCAGAAGCCGCTCGTGAAGTTCTGCCCCCGCGCGTTCTCGCCATTACGCTCGACGGCAACGGCTCCATGAAGCAGGAGAGCTTCGACAACATCCAGAAGTTCGCCCTGAACCTGGCCAGCAAGTACCAGAGCGCACACTACGGCGTGGAAGACATGCACATCGGACTTACGCTGTTCGGGATCGGCGAGCACGTTCATCGCCGAGGACTCGACGAAGAACCTGAAGGTGCCCCGGGGCTGGGCAGGCGAGCGCTGGGAGACCAACTACGAGCGCATCATGGGATACACGGCATTCATCAACGACGAGCCCGAGTATGCCCAGAAGCTGCTGGTGATACCAGTCCAAGTACAAGTCCCTGTTCAACGACTGGGAGTATCACCTGGCCGTGAAGTCTCCAGCAAGAGCGCGCTGCGTTCTACAAGTCCCTGTTCACCGATTGGGAGGATTACACGGCCGTGAAAAGCAGCACCGGTGTGATGCATGAGCCTGGCTTTTGGTTCATGACGGATCCCATGACTTGGCTGGCATGCCAGACCAGGTTGTTTTCCCTCCTACCTCCCTCTCGTGCCATCTGCCTGTGCCCCTAGCGCGCCGTGTGTGCGATTCTGACTTTTTATTTCTTTGGACCACCGCCCACTCGTCGCTAACCTATGGAGTGCCAGCACCCTCAGTCACCTCACTCGTGCTTGCCTCCTAGGCATCGCTGTTGCAGCACCCTGTGGGCACCACGCGCCCCCCGCGCGGCCACCGAGAGTCACGCTCTCTGCGACGAGCCGTACATTATTTTCGATCCGAGATGAACGTTTATTCCCAACCATGCTGTGGTGTTGGGTCTTCCTTTTGAAGAGACGTCGCCCCGCGTTCTCCTCCTCTCCTCCTCCCCCTCGTCCCCCCTCCCGTCACTCCTCCCTCCTCCCTGCGTTTCACCCACCCGGTACAGCGTTTCGTGGGCCCATAGGGAGCTCCACCGAAGGCGCCAGCGGCAGCGTTCGCATGGCGGCCTCGGGCAATTTCGGCACAACCCTCACGCGGATCGTGGCCCCATAGGGAGCTCCACCGCAGGCTCCAGTGGCAGCGATCGCAGGGCGGCTTCGGGCCATTTCGGCACACCCCTCACAAGGATCGTGGCCCCATACGGAGCTCCACCGAAGGCGCCAGTGGCAGCGTTCGCATGGCGGCCTCGGGCCATTTCGGCACACCCCTCACGAGGATCGTGGCCCCATAGGGAGCTCCACCGAAGGCGCCAGTGGCAGCGTTTGCATGGCGGCCTCGGGCCATTTCGGCAAACTTCTCACGAGGATCGTGGCCCCATAGGGAGCTCCACCGAAGGCTCCAGTGGCAGCGTTCGCATAGCGGCCTCGGGCCATTTCGGCACATTCCTCACGAGGATCGTGGCCCCATACGGAGCTCCACCGAAGGCGCCAGCGGCAGCGTTCGCATGGCGGCCTCGGGCCATTTCGGCACACCCCTCACGAGGATCGTGGCCCCATAAGGGAGCTCCACCGAAGGCGCCAGTGGCAGCGTTCGCAGGGCGGCCTCGGGCCATTTCGGCACACCCCTCACAAGGATCGTGGCCCCATAGGGAGCTCCATCGAAGGCGCCAGTGGCAGCGTTCGCATGGCGGCTTCGGGCCATTTCGGCAAACCTCTCACGAGGATCGTGGCCCCATGGGGAGCTCCACCGCAGGCCCCCAGTGGCAGCGCTCGCATGGCGGCTTCGGGCCATTTCGGCAAACCCCTCACGAGGATCGTGGCCCCATGGGGAGCTCCACCGAAGGCCCCCAGTGGCAGGGTTCGCATGGCGGCCTCGGGCCATTTCGGCACACCCCTCACGAGGATCGTGGCCCCATAGGAACTCCACCGAAGGCGCCAGTGGCAGGGTTCGCATGGCTGCCCCGGGCCAGTGCGGCAAACCCCTCACGAGGATCGTGGCCCCATAGGGAGTTCCACCGAAGGCGCCAGTGGCAGGGTTCGCATGGCGGCCCCGGGCCAGTGCGGCAAACCCCTCACGAGGATCGTGGCCCTATAGTTGTGTTGCTTCAACAAAGGCGCCTGGGCGTCGTACTCCGCCTTGTCGGCGTGCAACGCCACCTCCTCCCTCATGGCTCTCAAGGCCCTCTCCTGCTTCTGCTCCTCGGTGAGAGGGACGCCGTCCTTGTCGTCGTCGGCGCCTGTGAAGACGGCCACGAACGTGTCCCTGAGCATGTCGGGCTCCGGCGGGAAGCCGTGGCCACATAGAGAGCGCGGGCGAAGATGGTATTCATAATTGCGGTATTCACAACTGCATCTGGTCGGGTCCTTCGCCATTTTTTTCTGGGCTCTCATGTCGTTGGAAAAAATAATGTTGATTGTGGTGATGAGTGTGGTGATACTTATGATGTTGTTGATGATGCTGATGATGATCATCAACATCATACTTATGATAAAGCTGCTGCACAGATGCTGATGGTGATGGTAATGTTGATGTTGCGAATTCCTTGCTGCGGTTGAGGCGGTCATGATGACGACGATGCTGCTGCTGATGATGGTTGTAATTTTGCTGATGGCGAAGATGATGATGATTATGCTGGTGATGATGATGTTGATGCTGATGATGCTGATGCTGATGACAACGACGATGACGGCAATGATGATGCTGATGATGATGTTGGTGTTGATGATGGCGATACTTATGATGACGATGGCGATGGCGAGGCCGATGACGGTGATGCGGCTGATGATGATGACGACGATGATGTTGATCATGATGATGAGGATGCTGATGATGATGTTGATGAAGATGATGATGAGGAGGAGGAGGAGGAGGAAGAGGAGGAGGAGGAGGAGGAGGTGGAGTGGGAATTTCGGGGCGCTAGCTTTACGAGTTTTGAAGGGGGGGCACCCAGGCCCTCGCCGCACGATCCGTGGGGGACGGCTGGCTGCCCCGGCCCGCGTGCGGCGCGCAGCCATCTAGGCCCCAAGCTCTGTCTGAAGGGGGTGTTCGAGCGTGGATCGGACCATTTCGGCCAGCCCCGCCGCCCACGGAGTTGTTTTTCGCGCCGTAAGTCGCCCTCCCCCCCTTTTCCTCCTTCCTGCAGCCAGACACTCAGCGCCGTGTCGTAGCCCGACCCACTGGAGCGCGCGAGCGGATTGCCTCTGCCGCGCCGCGACGTGAAACAAATTTTGACCAGGTTTCTCTCAGCGCCTGGTGACAGTAGGGACCTCAGGATATCCTCGCGTCCGAGGCCCTGAGAAGTCTGCGGGCCAGCTGTGACGACCTTCAATTATTGCGGGCTGCGTTCGGGGACGTTGGGCGGGCACCGTGTGTGTGTGTGTGTGTGTGTTTGTGTGTGTGTGTGTGTGTGTGTGTCTGTGTCTGTGCCTGTGCCTGTGCCTGTGCCTGTGCCTGTGCCTGTGCCTGTGCCTGTGTCTGTGTCTGTGTCTGTGCCTTTGCCTGTGTCTGTGTCTGTGTGTTCGTGCGTGTGTGATGCGGGGGAAGAACAAGGCGATGACGGAAGAACCAGGGGGATTAGGAGGAGACGGCGGCAAAGGAGGAGGACCAGAGAAGGAGTGGCCGAAATGGAGAAGGAGCGGGAGATGGCTCATAGGCACAATCAGAGACATCATGATTTGGGGGACGGGTAATGATGATGGTGATAAAGAGGTGATGAAGGAGGAGGACGTGCAATACAGATGCCAAGAGAAAGGAGGCATCTGGATATGTTCAAGTGAAGGATGAGGGAAGAAGGGGGGAGGAGGTTGGATAGGAGGGGGAGGGGGGAAAGACGTAGAAACATGTGGAGGAGACCATGACGAGAGGGGGGACACAAAATACAGGGGCGTGATGCCAACGATTGTAATACGCAGTGACGACGACTGGGGATGAACCCGAACATGAGGTGGAGGAGGAGGAAGAACGCGGCGATTTGAGAGAGAAGGTATGGCGAGAGGATGAGGCGGTCGATAAGGAATAGTACCGATATGAGGATGGAACCTTTGGGGATTAGCATCAGGAGAAATATAGATCGGTCGCGGCGGAAACTGATGTGGATGATAATGAGGAAGTACATGAGGATGCGGAGGATAAGGACGACGAGAACGACGACGACGAGCATGACGACGACAAGCGTGAAGACAAGGACCGCGACGACGACGTAGATGACGCCTCCGACGGCGGCGACGACGGCGACGCCGACGAAACTACTACGGCGACCGCATCGGCGACGACGACCGCGACTACGTTGACCTCGACGGCTGCGACGACGGCAACCACAGCGACGACGACGGCGGCGACGACGAACACAACGACGACGCCGCAGGCGATGATGACGAAGGCGATGACGACGATGACGACGACGACGGCGACGGCGACGGCGACGGCGAGGTCCAGGTCCAGGACCAGGACCAGGCCGAGGATGGCGCCGACGACGGCGCCATCGACGACGACCACGGCGAGGGCGTGGAGGGCGACGGCGGCGAGGGACATCCGGGGCGGCGGCCGCGGCGAACAAGGGCCGCCTGGGGCCCTCGAGATGCGAGGAGGAGGAGGAGGAACAGGAGGAGGAGGAGGAGCAGAACCAGTGTAAACCCAAGCGTCATTGACGATGTTGGAATAAACCCTTCTTCAATATTCCTCTTCGCAGGCTCCTGCAACGGTTCATCTCCACTGAGGGACATGTTTCGTCTGAAGACAGACGTTTGACCATTCTAAGCATGCCAAAGCATTGTTCTCGGGATTTCAACGCCACGGATAAACCTGCCTGTTGCGTCTTGACGAGCCTGAATCGCGCCAGAACGCCATTCCTGGGACTTCAACACCGCGAATCAGCGTAACTGTTCAACCCGCATAATCCTCAACCTTTCCAAAACACCATTTCTGGTACGCTGATCATGGGAACCGTGAAACCCTTGTAAATTTTATAAACGAATGTGCGCTGCGCTAGGGCGAGAGCCACATTTTGAAAAGGTACCGGCCTCAATCCGTGAAGCTTTTGCAAATTTGTAAAACGAATGCACGGGGCGCAAGGCGAGAGCCACATTTTGAAACCCAGTCGCCCTCAATCCGCGAAGTTCTTCCATTTTTTACAACGAATGCACGCGGCGCTAAGGCGAGAGCCCCATTTTGAAAACCAGTCGCCCTCACTCCGTGAAGCGCTTGCTAATATTTCGATCGACTGTGCGCGGCGCTACGGCGAGAGCTACATGTTGAAAACCACCTTCCCTCCATCTTTGAAACTGCTGCTAGGTGGAAGGTTCAGGGTCATACATGGTGAGGAAGTCTCAGGCGAAACGCCCGGCCCGCCCTAAAAATTAGCTTCGGGGTGCGACAGGGAAAAGCCGTTTGTAAGGAACTGGAATGGAGAAGGAGGAGGGGGAGAAGGAGGCGGAGTCGGAGTCGGAGGCGGAAGCGGAGGCGGAAGCGGAAGCGGAGGCGGAGGAGGAGGCGGAGGAGGAGGCAGAGGAGGAGGAGGAGGAGGAGGAGGAGGAGGAGGAGGAGGAAGAGGACGAGGAGCAGGAAGAGGACGAGGAGGAGGAGGAGGAGGAGAGGAGGAGGAGGAGGGGAGGAGGAGGAGGAGGGAGGAGGAGGAGGAGGAGGAGGAGGAGGAGGAGGAGGAGGAGGAAGAGGAGGAGGAGGAGGATTGGGAGGAGGATTGGGAGGAGGATTGGGAGGACGATTGGGAGGAGGAGGAGGAGGAGGAGGAGGAGGAGGAGGCGAACACTCCTGGCGGCGACGGCGCGCCTCGGGTCAGAAGCAGACCCCCGCGCGCGCCGGGGAGGCCTGTGACTCCCGCACGGGCCGCCCCGGCGGCTCGGGGGACCACCGGCGCGTGAACCAGCTCGACCGGCGGGGCGGGCGGAGGGCCCTGAGCTGGAGGGAAGGAACTCGACTATACGCGTGCGAGGGACCCCTCGCTGGAGTGACCTTTGGTGCGGGCCCACCGGGGGGTCCCCCGATCGCCAAGCGCGAAGCGGTAGTATAGCGTCCTTGCGCGCCTGTGTGTGGTCCTCCCGCGGGCCCCAGAAAGCGCGCGCCCAAGGGTCGCTTTTACCCAAGGTCGCTCTTGCGTGTAGCCGAGGAGCACGCTGAACCAGCTCGACCGGCGGGGCGGGCGGAGGGCTCCAGCTGTGAAACAAATCGCGAGACTTCGGGAGGTTTTTCGCTGGTTTCGGCATCTGGGGGCCCTCGCCGGGCCTCGGTGCCGTCAACGAATGACTCGGGACGAAGGACCGGTCCCACCTTTGGGAGTCGACGTTGTGAAAAAAACCAGATGTTTGGGGTCTGGGGAAGGAGCGCGCTGACCATGACCAAGGCGTCGCGGGGTCTTGTCGACGTCGATCTTGGTCATGGGTCATGGTCCATGCTGGTCGTCGCCGATTCGCGAGAAGGATCCTAGAATTGACGCTGCCCAATTAGTATTGAGTCGGGCATGTCCCTCTGCAGGAGGAATATGTAAGAACAGTCAAAAAATAGTCAGGGGACGATTCTTCCTGCTCTCCTGATTATTCACGGATTATTGTTTGACTACTTCTATTTGTCTTCCAGAATCCGCCTGTAGCAGGACATGTCCGACCAAAAATCAGTATGGACGGTGACCAGGGCCGATGCTGGCGTTTTCGCGTTCCGTCCGGGTCGCGGTCACGGTCTTCGATCCTTCCGTGCAGGTAGCCTCGCGCCGTGAAGCAGTCACGGCGGCAGGCTCTTTTGGCGATCTTCGGCCTCGAGGGGCCCCGGCCTGGCCTGGGGGCCGTCAACGAACACGGCCCGCGCGGAACAGCCGGCCCTGGGAACGCCGCATATGGAGTCGGTCTCGCCCAGCCCCCTCCTCCTCCTCCTCCTCCTCCTCCTCCTCCTCTTCCTCCTCCTCTTCCTCCTCCTCCTCCTACTCCTCCTCCTCCTCCTCTCCCTCCTCGTCCTCCTCCTCCTCCTCCTCCTCCTCACCCTCCTCCTCTTGCCGGAGCCTGCAGGGCCAGGGCTCTGCACCGACCCGGGCTCGGGTGCAGGACCCAGCAGCATCCTGCCAGGTCTTGCCCAGGCGCGTCCTTTCCGACCGCAGGTCCCACTCGGGAGGCAAGGGCGACGACGGTCCTGCGGCAGGGTTGCCCGTCGGCTCCCCGGCACACGATATCCTGGCATCGCTCGGACGCGTGCATTTTTCCTTCGGCGAGGACTATCGAGGAGCATCCCTGATCATTTGGCGAAAGAACCACGCACGAAACAGAAAAAAACACACAGGGAATGGACGTCCGAGAGATGGCGAGATATGCGAGATGGGATTTAAGAACCCCCCCCCCTCCGGCAAATCGATAACCCTTCCGCACCCTGGAAGCGTTACCTGGCACCAGGAGCCCTCCTGGGTGTCCGGATGCTAAAGCTATCGTTCGGTCATTTCGGCCCCTCGGAATATCGAATAAAAGATGCGGTGCTACGATATCGCCGGGGGGGTTCTTAAATGCTTCCTGGGGTTACAAGGGGTCCTGCAGGGTCCTGCAGGGCCCTGCAGGGCCCGACGGACCCCCCCGGGCGAGGACTGGCCCGGGTCGGCACGCCCCCGACGGCGGAGGCGGCCGCGCGCCGCGCGTGCGGGCCCATCGCCCAGTGCAGCGGCCTCGGCGGGAGGCCTCTCGAGGAAGAGGCAGCGGCAGAGGCGCATCGGGAGGGGAAGAAACACACAGACGCGATGAATCCTCCTCCTCCTCCTCCTCCTCCTCCTCCTCCTCCTCCTCCTCCTCTCGAGGAAGAGGCAGCGGCAGACGCGTGTCAGGAGGGGAAGAAACACACAGATACAATTCATCGTCCATTCCCAGGAAAACATGGGAGATTATGGGAAGTGGGGGGGGAACAGAAGCCGAGAAAGTATGAGAAAAGATGGGGCATCGGGAGGGGAAGAAGCACACAGACACCATTCATCGTCCATTCCCAGGAACATGTGGGAAATTGTGGGAAGTGGGGGGGGGGGAGCAGAAGCCGAGAAAACTTATAAGAAAAGATGGGGACTCTATGTCTACTTGCGTGTATCTACTTGCGTGTGTCCTGGGGCCCCTGCAGCGCAGGCTCTCGGAGCTCCGCGCAGGTGTCCTGGATCGGCGCTGGGCACCCCTTTGGGCCCCGCCTCCGGCGCCGCCCCTGGCGCGCCCCGCGCGCCGGGGAGGCGGGCCCGAGGTCCATGCAAGGGATCCTCACGGGCCTCCCACCTCCTCGTCCCCCTCCTGCTGCTCGTGCGCCCCTCTCCTCCCTTCACCCTTCGGGCCGGACGAAAGGGGGGGATTGGGAAAGGGGGGGTTACGAAATTTGCTGCATGCAGCTGGTTTCGGCCTCACCGAGGGGCCCATTCCTCGACACATGGCTCCCTCCAGCGCCGGGAGGCGATGGGAAAATCAGCTGCGTGAGCTGATTCTCAACCCCCCCCTTTGCTATCCCCCCCTTTCGCCCGACCCGAACCCTGCCCAGGGCGTGAGCACGAGTCTGATGGGGGTCGTTGGCAGCGGCCTCGCGCGAGAGACCGCGCCGAGGCTCCCGCGAAGCACATAATTAGGGAGCCCCGACCAAAATAAAGAGGGATCCTCACGGACCTTCGAAAGTGTTCTGCTTGTGCATTCTTCTTCTTCTTCTTCTTCTTCTTCTTCTACAGTTCAGCGACGCGCAGAGGGGGGCAGGGGAAGGGGGGAAGGCCTCTCAGACCCGTCCTGATTCTGAGAAGGCGCGGCCCTTCTCTGTGGATGCAGGGCCGGCGCCTCCCAAGAAGCAGCCTCCTGTCAACAAGCCTTTGCCCCCTCCCCGTTGCTCCCGTTCAGGGTTCAGGGCTTTGGGTCCCCGCGCCCGCCCCCGATCCGCAACTGCGGGGTGCTGCGCGCATGGGGACGCTCTGACATGGGGCGCAGGACGCCGGGGCGAGGCGTCCCTCGGCCTCCGTGTTCTCCGGCCGGAGCCCCGGAAACAAAACTCGGGAGGGCAAGAAACACACGGACACAATGACTCGTCGACTCCCAGGAGAAAATATGGGAGAATATGGGAAGTGGGGGGAAGACAGACACCCAGAACATAGGGTAACATATTGGGATGCCTGCTAGTTGTGTGTGTACTTATTTGTGTGTTTGTGGGCCCCTTCAACAAATCCTGGCCCGCCTCCTCCTCCTCCCCCTCCCTCTCCTCCCCCTCCTCCTCCTCCTCCCCCTCCTCCTCCTCCTCCTCCTCCTCCTCCTCCTCCTCCTCCTCCTGGGCCCTGGCGCACCTCCTCCGCCCGGCCCCTCGCGGGCCGAGGCCCCCCCCCCCCGGCCGCGCTTCGCCCCGCGAGGGCCGCTTCTGGACGCCCCCTGGGCCTGGCCAGGGCGCCCGCCCCCCCCCCCGTGGGAGAGGGGGGAAGAGGTCGGGCCGGGCGAAAGGGGGGGATTGGGAAAGGGGGGGTTACGAAATTTGCTGCATGCAGCTGGTTTCGGCCTCACCCAGGGGCCCATTCCTCGATACATGGCCGCCTCCGGCGCCGGGAGGCGCCGGGAAAATCAGCTGCGTGAGCTGATTCTCAAACCCCCCCTTTGCTATCCCCCCCTTTCGCCCGACCCGAGCCTGGCCAGGGCGCCCCCCCCCGTGGGAGAGGGGGGAAGAGGGGAGGGAGTCGGCTTCGCCACGTACGACGTGTTTCGGTGTTCGTTCCCGTTTCTCCTCGGACTGGCGACGACCACGACGACGAAGACGGCGACAGCGGCTCGCAGTGCGCCGAAGGGTCGGGGGATTGAGCGGAACCTTGTGCGACCCCATCCCCCCAAACGGGACCTCCCCGATCTTTGGTCCCGGTAGCTTTCTGGACGCTCCTCACAGGGTCACCCAGAACTTCTGGAATTTGAGGATCCTTCCCAGCCCGCGATGCCAAGAGCTCCCCAAGACGGTACGAGAGTCCCCAGACCTCCCTGGAGCGTCCCAAGAGGACCTAGATGGCCGCACGACGACCCATGAGGTCCCCAAGACGCCCACATAGGCCTTCAAAAGGACCCCCAAAAAGCAAACATCGTCCCATTCCCTCAGGATGACATACGCTTGTTGGATACACGCTTTGTTAATCGTAGCAGCGTCCAGGATCGTCCAAGAGGTCCCCGACATCGCCCCAGGACGATCAAGAGGCCCCCAAGAGCGCCCCCCAGACTGACCAAGAGGGCTCCAAGACTGCCCAAGAGATCCCCAAGACGGCCCGACCAGGGCCCAAGATGTCCCCGAAAGGCTCCCAAGAGAGGCCCAAGAGGTCAATGGGGAGGCTTCCAAGAGGGCCCAAGATGGCCCCAAGATGGCTTCCCGAAGGCCCTCGCTCCCCGAGACGGCCCAGGGCGGACCCAGGACGGCCCGAGAGGTCCCCGAGACGGTTTCAAAAAACGCCCAAAGGGACCATCAAGAAGGCCTCGAGAGGCCAGATTCATTGACGGCCCAACAGGCCCCCAAGATCGCCCCAAGACGGCCCAAAGGCGATCAAGAGGGGCCCCCAAAAAGGCCCAAGAAGGCCCCCAGACGGCTCAAGATCTCTTGCGATTTCCAAAGACTTCCCCCCATGGATGTTTATCCCATCTCGACAGAGGGCGGCAAAGGATGGAGGTTCGAGGTTCGACGATCGCAGCAAGCCTAATCCGCGGAGCGTGATGGCCCCGCAAGGGGACCGGCGGATACATACATACACATATATATATATATACATATATATATATATATATATATTCATACGCACCTCTGCGATGGAGTAAAGCTCAGGGGCGATGTGTTGTGAAGCCATGCTTCATGTGTTGGCTGTTTCGCTCGGAAAATCCACACATCACGCATAACACACACACAGAGCACAGACAGCACCTTCAACACGCCGGACACACGACGAACACACGCACTCACACACAACACACACACACACACATCAAACGCAACACACACACACACAGAACACACAGTACAAGCAACCTACAACGCGCACACACAACACACATGACACGTAGAATACGCAGAACACACATGATCCACACACAGCTCACACATAGTACACGGCACAACACAACACCGCGCACACCACACACAGCACAAACCGTACACACGCCACACCACACCACACCACACCACACACAACACCACACCACACCACACCACACCACACCACACCACACCACACCACACCACACCATCCACACAATCACACAATCACACAATCACACGCAATCACACAATCACACACATTCACACACACGCACATCCTGCACATGTGTGTTGTATGAGCCTGTGCACGCACGTGCCACTTGTATCCGTTAGTATACATGTGTATAAATATGCATGTATATATATAGAGAGAGAGAGAGAGCGAACACAACTATACGGGTTCGTGTGCCTGTGTCCTTCTTCGTCCTCCATCCTTACTCGCTCCTCGCCCTTCTCCCCCATCTTTCCTCTCCCTCTCGCCTCCTCCTGCCTCCCCCTCCCGCCTCCTACCTTCTCTACCTCTTCCTCCAGCCTCCTCCTTGTCCTGCGTCCTCCTTCGCCGGGCCCCCTCCTCCTCCTCCTGCCTCCCCCTTCTCCTCCTCCTCCTCCTCCTCCTCCTCCTCCTCCTCCTCCTCCTCCCTCGCCCTCCTCCTCCCTCGCCCTCCTCCCTTGCCCTCCTCCCTCCTCGCCATCCCCATCCTCCTCCCCGCCCGCGCGTCTGCCGCGGGCCTCTCCAGCGGCCTGGGGCCCCGGGGGCTCAGGGAGTTCGCCGAGCCCAGCGACCAGGCGCCGCGGGCGCCAGTGCGCAGCGGCAGCACGGAGGGGCACGGGCGGGCCGGGGCTCCAGGATCGGGCCGGACGAAAGGGGGGGATAGGGAAAGGGGGGGGTACGAAATTCGCTGCGCGTAGCTGGTTTCGGCCCCACCGAGGGGCCCATTCCTCGATACATGGCCGCCTCCGGCGCCGGGAGGCGCCGGGAAAATCGGCTACGTGAGCTGATTCTCAACCCCCCCCTTTGTTATCCCCCCCTTTCGCCCGACCCGACAGGATCCGAGTCGGGCAGTGGCGAAGTGTCCTGGCCTGCCTACAGTGGGGGCGCTCGTCAAGAAACCACCTGCTTTTCGTCAGGGTATCCTCAGTTTCTTAGCTTCGCGCTCCGCGCGGTGGCTTCCCGCAGCCGGGGAAGGAGCGGCTGCGTTCAGGGTGCTCCGGGTCTCCCCTCAGGTGCACCTCGCGAGCGGGTTTTCAGGGTTGGGTTTCTTGCGAGGGTCTCTTGCGGCCGCGCCCGCACTGTATAGGCCCACCAAAGGACATTCTAAGAACCTTTTGTGGCTGGCACGAGATGTTCTTAGAACAGTTCTGGCTGAGATTGGCTTGTTTTGACACATCGGGCTTCTGTTCTAAGAACATTGATTTATTTTTCGAACAAGTTTGGGTTCTAAGACCATTTCGTGGTCGGCCTATGGGAATGCCGGGACGGTCGGTTCTCGCTTAACTGAGATCTTGCCGTCTCAGCGCTTCCCAACCGTCTTGGCTTTTGGATGATGCATCGCCCCGCGTCCTTCTTTCCGTCCTCCTTCCCCTTCTCCTCCTCTCTCCTCTCTCCTCTCGCTTGTGCACCCCCTTTCCCGCGCGTTCTCATCATCGTCGTCACCCCCCGCATCATCATCGTCATCCTCATCGTCATCATCATCATCATCATCATCATCATCATCATCATCATCATCATCATCATCATCATCAGCATCATCAGCATCATCATCATCATCAGCGACCTCATCGTCCTTTCCGTGACTATCGTCATCTTCACCAGCGTCAGCATCTTCATCACCGTCATGGTCACCACCGCTATCATCGCCGACACTAAGCGTGATGCGGCCCTCTGTGCATCGGTCGACTGCTTCGTGCACACCTACTTGCAGTTGCGGTTGCGGACCGCTCCATCGGGGGCGTCGTTTGAACACATGGTTGAAGGCAGATCGGGGCTGCTGATGCAGCGCCACCCCCCGATTCGAGCTGCCATCCATCATGTCCGTAACCCTGTGGGTTAGTCCAGCTATCTTTCTGTTTTTGCCCGCCGCCTGCTGTGGACCTAGACCTGTCACCAGTCTGCCCCGCTGGGAGCGGCCGCCTCTCATGTGGCCTCGTTGCCTCTCTTCTCCCCCCCCCGCGGACTTGGGAATGCGCTCGCCGGCACATCGCACCCCAGCTTATGCGATTAGGCGGGGCCATCCCTTGTCTGCGTACCGCTGCTTGTTGGCTCTCCCTCGCTCGCGCGAGGTCGGGACAAGTACGAGGCGCAGTGCCCGCCTGAGGCTGCTGTCAGTTGCCGTCGGTGCTCGGAGGGGTCCCAGTGTGGCGAGCCGAACAGAAGATTTCAGCGGCATTGATCGATCGATTGGCCTTCCCGCCCTCTCAGGAGTGGAAAAACCGCACGGACACAAGTCATCGGCGACTCCCAAGAAAAATAAAGGAAAATATGGGAAGTGGGGGGGAAGACGAACAAACCCAGAAATTATGGGAATCTATCGGGAATCCTGGGCTCTGCGTCTATTTAGTTGCGTGTCCCTGGGTCCCTTCAGCCTCGTCCTCCCTCCCTGCCGGTACCTGCTTGCTGCACCTCCCCCATCGGCGCCCACCCTTTGCGGTGGTTCGGCTGCCGTGGCGCCCAGCGGCCTGTCACTGTGAATTCGAAGCTGCAGCTCGACTCGGCTGCCGAAGGGCATTCTGCCTTACCGTGGTCACGTAGTCAAAACCATCACCAGCGTCATCATCGCCATCATCGTCATCATCCGTTCATCGGCCCCATAAACATCGCCATCGTCACTATATACCACCAGTATGTTCATGCTAGCTACCTGTACCATTCCAGTTGTCATCGCCACCGTCGTCATCACAACCATCATCATCACCACCGTCACCATTGTCATCATCATCATCATCATCACCACCACCAACATCATCATCAACATCATCAGCATCATGTTCATCATCATCATCATCATCATCATCATCATCATCATCATCATCATCCTCACCGTCATCGTCATCGTCATCATCATCGTCATCGTCATCGTCATCATCATCATCGTCTTCAGCATGAACATCACCATCATCATCAGCACCATCACCATCATCATCATCATCATCATCATCGTCCTCATCATCAGTATCGTCATCATCATCATCAACATCAACATCATCGTTATCGTCGTCATCGTCATCATCATTATGGTCCGAAAAAATGCATCTTCATCATCACAATCACCACCATCATCATCACCATCGACGTCATCATCACCGTATTCATATTCATATTCATCTTCATCATCAACGTCATTGTCATCGTCATCGTCATTTGCATTGTCATCGCCCTCGTCATCGTCATCATCATCGTCATCATCATCGTCATCAGCACCATCATCATCATCATCATCATCATCATCATCATCGTCATCATCATCATCATCATCAGCATCAGCATCAGCATCAGCATCATCATCATCCTGGGCAGAGGGCAGCGAGGGCAACGGCTCCGCGGGCGACCCTGCTGACGGTCAATGGGCGGGGCCGAACCTTTCGGATGGCAGCAACTCGGCCGACAATGATTCGTACTGCACGGTGAGCTCTGGCGGCGGCGGCGGCCGAGGAGCCGCGGACGCAGCCAGAAAGGCAGCCGCCACGGCGACGCTAGCCGCAGCGGCGCTGATAGTGCAGGCAACGGCGCCGCGCCGCCAGCGCTACAGTCAACCCTCGTAGTAAGGACGATCGACTTCCCAAGGGTACCCTTGCATCCTCGCCTCTTCGGTCATTTTCGGTCCATCCTCAACCACTTGCGGTAGCCAGCTCCACTCGAAGAGCCTCGGCATGGGCGTCCAAGGCCCTTGCATCCTCACCGCACATCCTTACTATACGGGTTGATTGTAGCGGGGCCGCGCTGGTTGCCTCCACCGAGGGAAGGTGATCCCGATCTCGGTGATGGTGCCACCGATACCAACCCCTAGGACCTAGGACCATCTTGTCCCGGTGGAGGCAACCCCTTGTTTTGGTGTTGGTGCTCATTTCCAAGCCTTCGGTCGGGCGTGTCCCCCTACAGGCGGATTTCGGACGATGAATTCAAAATCGTCCAAAAATGTTCAAACGTGCTAAGAAATAGTCGAAACATCGTCCCCAGACTATGTTTTGACAATTTTTGAGTTGTCCTCCTGTAGAGGCACATGCCCGACTTCATCCAAGCCTCCAACAGCGTGGCGCAGAGCCACCGCCTGTGGACCTCCGGCGAGGGCGGCTGCGCGCTGCTGGCCTGCTGCGCGACCTGCGGCCGTGAATCACACGCCGACGGCCCCCGCGTGGCGGAGAGCTCCGCGCGCAGCGCAGCGGCGGGGCCTCCGACCGCCGGGCCGCTGCGCTGCGCCGCCTCCGCCGGGAGGCGCTCCAGACGCGCGGCGCCCGTCCCTGAGATCCTGGCGTCTCGATTTTTTCGAGGCGCGCGTTTTCGCCTCTTTGCGGGCCCCCGGACCCCCACGGGGTCGATGCGGCTCGACAAGTGGCGCAGGAAGATGTGGTCCAGGGCTCCGGGCGTGATTTTGCTGTAGTGATATATATATATATATATATATATATATATATATATATAGTGGGAGCCCATGCCAA